GTTTTAACAATAACTGGACATCATTTTATTCAATAATTCTCATATAGATTGGTTGCTACGATGCATCATAGCTGATTCAGAGTCACATATTGACATATATTTTTTTACAAATTCGTAATGATAAGCCTTCTCATTGGTAAGCAATCGTAAAATATACAATTACTGTAACGCCTTGCACTGCTTACAGTTTTCCATTCTCTCGTTAAATTCTTCAATTTGGAGAGTCATCTCGAAGAAGTTATAGTGGTCATGGATATTTCTAGTTGCTGTTCGCAGAATTTGTTGAGGGCTTGCATCAGACTCTGTGAAAATCATAATCACATGTGTAAAAATTTATTAGAAAGTCTACTAGTACCAATATACCACAAAATTAATTACAATTTTTACTGGAAATTCTATATGTTTTTTACATACTGGAAAGATAAATAAATGTGATAATCTAGAATTAAGTGGATCCTTGTTACAAACTTGTTGCATCTCCAAGAGAATCCAAAAACTGAGGGTGATCAATCCATATATATGGAACTTAATTATGCAGAGCGTGAATAAACTATCAGAAATCTTTAGTCACATTATAAAATTAACTCATTTGTCGTCATCTTTGAATTCTTTGCGGTGCGCGGCGAGCGGCGGTTAAGGAGCAGAAGGGAAAAAACAAGTCAACAGTCACCAGTCCGCCCCTTAAAAATTAATAGCTCCTTCCCTAATTAATGTTAAGAGATAAAATTAAGGGCGTTCGATGGTAGATTAAATTCGCCATCGATTGACACCAATTCCACCCCTTAACCCGTCAGACACACTATGAGACTGGCTCTCACACTGATTTTCATGGTATAGGAAACATGTCGGAAAAATGCCAATATCCGGATGAATCTTTTCTAATGCCTAAAGTAACTATTCTCCTTTCTTTTTATATCGATTATAATCCTTTGATATCTATTAATAATAAAATACAACAGCCGCAAGCGCTTGGCTTCATAGTAGAGGAGAAGTGTCTTGGTGTCTTTGTCTTACTAGTGCGGGAGAAGTATCGTGTGATATTTTCTCCCACGGCGCGCATAAATAATACTGGGAGATTAGCGTGCTTGCTGACGGGTTATTATTATTATCTTATTCTTTTCTTAATAAAAATCGCGGCGAAAACGACGGCGCGGCGAAAAACATTAATGACTTTTTGATGAGTGTACTGTCTCATCGAAAACAACAGACACAGACGCTATGAATAGTCTTTTCTTGTTTCCCCACACATGTCTCTAACTTTCCGTCGTGATTGATATCCAGGAAAACCTTGTCCTTCAGTCTGTGGCGTGATTCTCGACAGGTCAAACTTCTTTACATTCCGCGATGGAGTTTTTTAACC